CATTCATCTATTGAAGGGCATCTAGGTTGGTTCCACAGTTTAGCTATTGTGAATTGAGCTGCTATGGATATGGATGTGGCTGCATCATCATAGCATGCTGACTTTAAGTCCTTTGGGTATAGACTGAGGAGTGGGATAGCTGGATCAAATGGTTGTTCCATTCCAAGTTTTCTAAGGAGTCTTCATACTGTTTTCCACAGTGGTTGCACCAATTTGCAGTGCCACCAGCAATGTATGAGAGTGTTTATCCCCTCACATCTTCACCAACACTTACTATTGCTTGTATTGTTAATTGGCATTATGTTGTGTTTTCTTTATCACTCAGTCTGGGATAGATGAGGCAAACAAAATAAGAAAAACAATTAAAAAAAAGAAAAAAAAAAGAAACCAAAAAACCCTAGAGAAGAGAACTCATTGCTCTGAAATAACCAAGCCTCCAGTATCTAAAGAATTTCATTGGTTCAAATTTTCAAATTTGCTTGATTTTACACTTTTTCTTTCTTTGGAGCTCAGGTTTCCTAGGTTAGTTTCCATTTCTTTATTTCTTCTTTTTTAGTACCAGGGATTGAACCCAGGGTCCCTTAACCATTGAGACATATTCCCAGCCTTTTTATTTCTTGAAACAGGGTCTTAAACTAAGTTGCAAACTTTTTAAGTTTTCAAATTTTTTTTTCTGTTTAGCATCTCCTTCCTTGAACACCTTTTTTTTTTCCTTTGTGAGTTGAGTCTTAAAAGTAATTTTATTTTATTTTATTGGAGTTTTGTGAAAGATCTACATCCATCAAGGGCCAATTTTAAGATCAATTCTTAAAATTTTTCATGTTTGTTTATTTAAAATATTTTGATTCTACTCCCTCCATGCTAGCGCCTGCTGGCATTATAAAAGTCAATGATCATTAGGAGATACGAACCATACGGGTTATTTTAATGGAGTAAATGCACTGTAGAGAATAGCTGACTTGATATTTAAAACTAAAAAAGGACAAAAGAGAATATGATGACATCATGGAAGTAACAATTTCAGGAAGCAGTTACATTCCTAGAGTTGGGAGAACAAAAGGAAGAGGGTAAAGTGATTTAAACCCAGGAGAGCAGAGGAGCAGCTCCATAAAGCTGAATCCTGGCCTTAGGTTTTGGGGTGCTTCTGAGCTGGTGCTTAGGTCACTGATCTTGCAGACTGAGGCTAGGACTGTGTTTTCTGAGTGGAGTGGTAGCTGGCTGTCCCTGAAGTCTTCAAAGGCACTTCGGCAGTTCTGCAAGTGTCGAAACACAGCAAAGTGGGTTCAAAGGATGCTACGAGGATGAATCACCATCAATTCTTCAGCAAATCTTGAAGATATAATCAGATTCCAATCCCTTCTCACGACCTTTCGATTCTTTCTCCCATCCTGGCCACCATCATTCTTACCAGATTCTTCCAAACAAAAAACAAAACAAAACAAAAAACAATTAGAATTCCTAGGTTTCTCTGTTGTACCTCTTCACTTAATTTTCATTCTTTCATCCATTCATTTTTAAAAACAATTATGCAGTCAATGTAATCCTGCTAAATTTAAATCTGAATATTTTTTCTGTACTGTGTTTCAAAATCCTCTAGTGTCTTCATTTTGCTCAGGACAAAAGCCCAAGTCATTATGCTATCCGAGCTCACCCTTTATCCTCCAGCCCACCTGGAGTTGTCATGCACACCTGCATGGCTCCAAGAGGAACTATCCATGGAGAATGCCATGTGTCACATGATGTCTCCAAGTTCACCTCCCCTTCTTTTCATCTCTCTGACTCTCCTTCCTACCATTTTTTCTTTCATAGTCCCCTTTTCTTCCTTACTGTTTCTTAAACATGCTAGGCTCACTTCAGGGCTATTTCTCTTGCTGTTCTGTTACCCCTCAGAAATATGTGTGGCTTCTTCTGTGCTTTCTATGGTTTTGTTTTTATTTAAATGTATACCTCAGTAATTCTTTCCCTGGCCTACTGAAAAATACATCTAGTTTTGCTTTCTTATGTTCTTATCCCTTTTCCTTGTTTTATTTTTCCTGAGGCACTTTTTCCAAATAATACATTCCATGTTAACTTATTATTTTATTTATCCAGCCCTCAACCCAAGTAAACTATAGTCTCAAGAGAAGTTTTTTTCCCCCCCCCAGGGGTCGGGGAAGGGTCTGTTTGATCAGTCATGTACACTGGTACCTATAGCTGTGCCTGACATAGAGTAGGTTCTCAATACATATTTGTACTTTTGATTATTTAATATTGTAATCTCATGTTACTATCTTCATATTCCATGGAGATTTAGCCTGTCTTGTAATAAGTGAAAAAGTATTTGCAACTTTAAATTTCTGGAAAAGAATGAGAATCATTTTTTTTTTCCATTTAGTGTGGCAAGGCATGGAATTTACATAATAGAATTCAAATTGAATTGCAAATTATATGTGTGATGATTTGTATCATATTGTCAAATAATAATAATATTTAAAACCTTTGTGGATAATTACTATATCCACTATCCACCACAATGCAGATCT